ACACACACACACACACACACACACACACACACACACACACACACACAAACACAAATTCCGTTCGTGTATCTGATACACAATGCATATCCAGAACACATAAATAGCTATTAAAAATCAATAAGAAAGCCATCTAAGCAAACTTCCTTTTAAAAAGATGTTGCCATTAGAAAAAGAAGACAATCTGGTTTTTCCCCCTTCAGAGGGAAAGTCAAGCATCCTCCCTTGGGCCCTCCTCGTTACTTAGCTTCTTTGGGTCTATGGAGTGTAGCATGTTTATCCTGTATCTTATGGCTAATGTCCACTTATGAGTGAGTACACACCAGGTGTGTCTTCCTGGGTCTGGGTTACCTCACTCACTATGTTATTTTCCAGTTCCACCCATTTGCCTACAAATTTCATGAAGTCTTTGTTTTTAATACCTAAGTAGTATTCCATTGTGTAAATGTACCACATTTTCTTTGTCCATTCTTCAGTTGAAGGACATCTAGGTTGTTTCCATTTCTGGCTATTATGAATAAAGCTGCTGTGAACACAGATGAGCAAGTATCTTTGTGTTATGGTGGAGCATCTTTTTGGTATATCTTTTGGGTGGAGTGGTCTTGAGGTAGAATAATTCCCAAATTTCTGAGAAACCTCCAGATTGTTTTCCTCCAGATTGTACAAGTTTGTACTCACCAATTAAGCAAGTTAATTTTTAAAACTACAACCCAATTAAAAATTGTAAAATGTCTCAATAGGCATAGCTCTAAAGAAGATATGCAGAACAGATATTAATACATACATGAATGCTTAATGTAAGTTAAAGGCATGCATTCACACGTCATACTTGAAGCAGGGCTATCACTGAAAAGAGAGAAATTACCAAAGAGGAACCCCAACTCAGCTGATGAGGGTGGTGAAAATGATTTGGAAAACTGCTTGCCACATCCTCGAAGTGTTAAACACAGCATCCCATAAGCATAATATTTCTATACCTGTTTATATATCCAAGATAAGCGATATAAAGTAACTATATTCTCCAGCGTGGGGATGCCTTCTAGTTATAATATTCACACTCACAGGGAAACAACCTAAATATCCATCACCTGGAGCTAAAGAGCTAGCTCAGTGTTTAAGAGCAGTTAAAGCCACTCTCTGCACTTGAAACTAGGAGGATATATTAGCCTATTTTCAATATCATCCTACACAGAGGCCTCAGGAGATCGAGGAAGATGGGGAAGGAGTCAACTGTGCAGCTGTGTTGACTCTCGTTGTCATGCTGGGCCTGGTGACACAATTATGGTTTCAGGTGTTTGGAAAGCTTAGGCTGGACGAGTCCAAGTTCAAGGCTAGCTTAGACAACTCAGTGAGAGCCTGCCTCAAAATAAAAACTTAGAAATTGCTGGAGATGTATCTGAGTGCAGAGTTTTTGCATCGCATGTACATGGCCCAAGTTCGATCCCATTACCACATAAACACAAGAAGATCACAATATTGCATGGTACTGTGCTAGTTTCATTTCTGTTGTGATAAAATATCACAGCACAACCTGATTTAGTCAATCTCTCATTGAAACTCCCTACCCAGGTGATTTTCTGTTCTGTTAAGTTGACACCTGAAACCAAACATCAAAACCATTACAGCAGTAACATCTCAAGTTATAGATGACAGAGCACCATTGCTAATGAAAAAGAAATACTATGAGAAGTGTAAGAATGTGACACGAAGACAGGAAGTGAGCACACTGCAAAAGTGGCACCCATAAGTTTGCTCAATGCATGGCTGCCTCAAACCTATGATTTGAAAAAAAGAAAGCAGTATTTTTGAAAGGCAATATAGCAAAAGACAATAAAATGTAATATATGCTTGAACAACATGTACAGATGAAAGCTGCATGAGGTGGTTCTGGGAAAAGAACATGAGCTCCATGCCCTCTCCATTCTTCCATCTCCATCTCTACACATCTGGCAACTCTAGGGTCCTCTTTGGGGAGCATTTTTGCAGGATTCATTGCATATGTATGATTAAAGTATAGTCAATCATGGTTAGTTAAGGTTTCTATTTCTGTGGTAAAGCATCATGACCATAAGAAACTTAATGATGAAAGACTTTATTCAGCTTACAGTTTTTTTTTTCTTTTTTTCTTTATTTATTTTTTTTAATTTTTTATTAATTACACTTTATTCATTTTGTATCCCCCCATAAGCCCCTCCCTCCTCCCCTCCCGATCCCACCCTCCCTCCCCTTTCTGCATGCATGCCACTCCCCAAGTCCACTGATAGGGGAGGTTCTCCTCTTCTTTCTGATCTTAGTCTATCAGTTCTCATCAAAAGTGGCTGTATTGTCCTCTACTGTGGCCTGGTAAGGCTGCTCCCCCCTCAGGGGGAAGTGATCAAGGAGCAGGCCAATCAGATTATGTCAGAGGCAGTCCCTCTTCCCATTACTATGTAACCCACTTGGACACTGAACTGCCATGGGCTACACCTGTGCAGGGGTTCCAGGTCATCTTCATGAATAGTCCTTGGTTGGAGTATGATTTTCTGGGAAGTTCCCTGTGTTCAAATTATCTTGTTCTGTTGCTCTTCTTGTAGAGTTCCGGTCCCCTCCAGCTCTTACTATTTCCCATTTCTTACATAAAATTCCATTCACTCTGCCCATCAGTTGGCCATCAGGCTCAGCATCTGCTTTGACAGTCTATACTGCAGAAGCTTTCAGAGGCCCTCTGTGGCAGGTTTCAAGGTTGTTTCCTGTTTTCTTCTGGCTTTCAGAGGCCCTCTGTAGCAGGTTCCGAGGTTATTTCCTATTTTCTTTTTCTTCTGATGTCCATCCTCTTTGCCTTTCAGGATAGGGATTGAACATTTTAGTTAGGGTTCTCTCTTTTGCTTAGTTTGTTTAGATGTACAGATTTTAGTGGGTTTATTCTATATTGTATGTTTATATGAGTAATCAATCTGGCGATTTCTCAGACAACTAGGAATAGCGCTTCCTCAAGATCCAGCCATACCACTCCTAGGCATATACCCAAAAGAGGCGCAAGTACACAAAAAGGACATTTGCTCAACCATGTTTGTAGCAGCTTTATTTGTAATAGCCAGAAGCTGGAAACAACCCAGATGCTCCTCAACTGAAGAATGGATGCAGAAACTGTGG